CCAATCCACCAAAGCAAGATTTTGACAACTTCACTAACCGATAAGAGCCATTAATTGACACTCAACACGGATCTGGTGTGGAAATCCGATGAGGATTGACTTACTGATTGGTTCGTTCCAACCAGTTTGAGGGGAAAAGCATCGTTAGAAACTGTGAAAGCCTAAGGAGAAAGCCGACCGATAGAGGACGAGCATTTAACTGGATGGCCATGAACCGCAATAGCGCAACAAGTAAAAGGTGAAAAGAACGCGGAAGGACAGGGACTTATTGAGAACAGCCTTATGCCAGTATGAAAGATGATCAACAAAAGGAGCACCGAGATAAAAAAGCCTGAGTATCAGAACGAAGACGACATATCGTCCCTTGCGAATCTCAATCGACATAAGCCAAATGCACACCGATAGCTGACCTTTAGCATGACAATCAGGCTGGGGAATGAAAGCATGCACGACACTGAGTGGTCTGCGTACCATGTCAACTTACAAGCGGCATCAGGTGAACATCAACCAGGAAGGTTCAGTTAAACTGTGCCCGTTTTCATTTCACGTTAGCATTTCGGGGCGTCACCCGCGAAACTCACCACGACATTCAACAGTGCTGTCCAGATTCCTCTTTATGTTTTCATTCGCCGTGTCATGCGTTGCTCACCTCCCGGTGTCTCCGCGAACGGGCTACAGTGAGACAACCGATCACCTGACATAAGAACACACGGCCGAGTCGGACCAGTTGGTGCAGTCGTCACATCAATCAGATAAAATGAAATGAAAAATGGGTTTAGTTGTAGCACCTTTTCGGTGCCTAACTGCCAGAACAGAAAAAACTAGACAGAGAGGACATGAGACCAGCCTATCACATACGTCGAGGAGTACACACCTCCAAGCACTCAGCCAGACCATCTGGATAGAAACTGACAGCGTGGAAGCCTCTAACATCGGTTAGTCGCTCGGAGAGGGTCATATGGACACCATTTTGGGAAGTAAACAGCACCGAAGGCACACAGACCCTTCGTGATATCTTTCATTCCCTTCTACCATGTTAAATTTTGTCCACCCCCAGGTTTCGCCACTCCGAAGTGGGCACGGAAAACTGCGCTCGTCTCAGGAGATGGGATGCGTTACACATGACACAGCTACCTTGGCTTGCAACTCTGGATGCATTCTTTGAAGTAAGTACCCTCGGCTACACCAACAACCCGTCTCCGACTACCCCACTGCGAAGTCGTTAGTTCCAGTGGATTCAAGTTGTACTTCCGAGACATTAATGGTCAAAGACCAGATACCTCAGACCCTCTGCGTGAACTGGTCAAGTCTCCCGGCCGCACAAAACTACAACCCTCACTGTAGTCTAACACACACGTTCTTTGAAACCTTAACGCAGTGCGCAGGCCTCAGAGTCGAAAGACAACACTAGACGCACAAACTTGTTGTAGACCCGATCGTCCACCGACAGTCTTTTACGTCGAACACAGAAATGCCCACGTTGAAAGCAAGATGGCAGCCAGCAGCTCCAGCATTAACATTGTGAGTAACACTGCCATCCGCCATGATCCAACAACCTAGGTGGGTAAATTGATCCACTGATGTCGAGTAGCAGCCTCATCTTGCATCGTCTCCAGCCATGCACAGCGGGGATCACGTAGTGTAAAACCTGAGATACAAGCAGCATCGACATCACTCAGACCATTCGTTGCCGCTTTCACAACCCTTTCCACGTAGAAGGTTCACAACATCTCTGCTTTTCCCAATGAGTACTGCAACACTAGCTGGAACCTCGTTCCACAAGATGCAGGCATACAGGAAAGGCCAAAGAGCAGTCAGACCGAGAACAGTGAGACTTCAAACTACGAGTGAAAAGCTGAGCGCCTCTGAGTGCGGTATTATTGACTGACTGGCCCGAAACAAGCGGCTAAAGGCCATTAGACACAAAAGCAGACATTTCATATTCACAGGGCTTTTGAAAATAGAAGATTCTCAAGGTCCCGTTAACATTTCTGAACATAAATTAAGAAATAATCGACCACAAGGCGGCCCCATAATTTCCCTGCAAACCTTCCATCGGTAAACGGCGCTTTGACAGTTGACCAGGCATTGCTCGAATGTTCCATTAGTAGTATACACCGTTACACGAGTAATCGTGCTACGAGACGGTCTGGGAGTAAAGTCGTACTGTCATTTACGATGTGGGTGTGAAGGCAGCGGTGTGTTCCACACAGGAATTCAGCATGTCCACATTAAGCGATTCTGCCTCAACCCGAGGAAGGACGGGTTAGAAAAGGTCAACCATGAAAAACATCTGCTCCGATCATCCAGAGGTTGACCGTGATGGCCGGTGCATTTAATACGGTCGAAATACTTTTAAAACTATAGCCTGGTGCTGCTCAAAAGACACCAGCTGCGCGCCGCCGCATTGAGTGAAACAGTAATGCCCTGATCCGATCATCCAGAGGTTGACCGTGACTGCCGGTGCATTTAATACGGTCGAAACACTTTTAAAACTAGAGCCTGGTGCAGCTCAAAAGACACCAGCTGTGCGCCGCCGCATTGAGTGAAACAGTAATGCATTAATCCGTGTGCCCTCGGGTAAGGCCAGGTCGTGCAGCCGAGGAGGTCAACTGTTCTAGGCAGCGTACCCAAAGAAAACTCTACTGTCTGCCGCCTCCCTGGTCATAAATTTGAGTCAGAGGTTCATGGTGGGGTACCTCTACCAAACCCCCAACCTCGGTCTGGGCAACCGGGAATCATCGTTTCTTCGTGACGCTTTGCCCGCCTAGGTGCTCCCAACCCCTTCCCGTCACACAAAAACGTTGCAAGGTTAATTAGACTTTTAGTTAGCTAACCGAAATCCGTGATTGGAATCTAACCATGGCATCTCGATTGCTCCTGTCTAGACTTTGACAACCTGGTAGTATCTTAGCCCTCATGCCTCTTTCGGGTAGCATGGCAGGTATGTACAGAAAAGGTGCTACATGTGAATGATTATTGCATTCTATATTACTGGATGGCAGCAGTTGGCCACTAGAATTGCTGTTCATATTGTTCGGCCCAGCATTCAAGGCGTCCTCCTGTGTTGGAGATGGTCGCGCTAATTTGGTCCTTGATGGTTTCGGGGGACCAGTTGGAGCAATAAATCAAAATGATGGTAGGGTATCCCAGTCATTCTGCGCGTCTGCCATTTACTTGGTCCTCCGTGTTCACCCGGCTTCCCGGTCGCCGTGCAGACTAGATTTCGCTTGACGTTTGGCAATTTGACAGGTTGAATTAGGTGTCGGAACGAGCAAAAAGATTTCTCTCCTGGATTTAGCAGTGCCACGACTAGTCCTGATATCTAGTAAGAATTGGCTTCTGGCAGTGGGACAGCTGGAGAAAAGTGCAGGGGACGGTTCTGAAAAATTCGCTTGAATTCTGGATCTGCCGGCCTCTCACATGCTAAACGAGTTGTCTATCCCATATACAACTCTGGAAAATGAACAGAGAACCGAGTCAGAACGAGTCCACGGTCAGAATTCACACAAACGAACAGAATTTAATTGCTGATTCGCGTCACCAGTAACTGATGGTGGTGTGATCGATTTAGGTTGGTGGTTGGTGCGCTTTTGGAGAACGCCACGTGGTCAGATGGGTTCGATTACTTCGGATGTTGGTACTGCATGAAAACGGTCTTCGATCAGCGGATAGCTGAATTCGTCATCCACCGCTGCCTGTGCGTTCGGTGTCCGATCCAAGTTGACAACCCTAAAGAGTCCCAGAAAAAAGGGTAGACCAAAAATAGCACGTTTTCCCTTACCTGCCCTGCTGTATGTGGCAAGGAAGGCGACGTGGGATGACGGCATTTTCAGGAGTAAGAATCATGGTTGTACGCGGGTTGCATCATCATCATCATCATCATCATCAACAGCATGACATCAGTGTTCAACACCGATGCTTCACTGCCATCATTTATTTGAAAGACTTATTGTAAAGCAAAATAGAGGTGAACGGGGAAGGGACTTAGTGCTAGCTTACCACAAGCATTCTGAGGTACCTACACCTCCAGGCATTCACTCGGGCAATCTGGATAGAAACTGAAAACAAGAACGCCACTGACATCGGTTGGTAGCATATCTTGTAGTGTCTCCAATCAGGCGCAGCGGGGATCACGCGAACCCATCCTTGAAGGCAAGTACCACTCAGAGCACCTAAGCGTTTCATAATCTCCCACGTGGGCTGGGATACTGCCAGAGTCCAAACTTAAATAGGACTGTTAGGGTACTCAGCCAAAGCCTTTGGCTCAAAAGACTGGCTGCAAGTAAATGTTGCTTGGCGGGAATTGCTAGTGTATTACATTTTATCCATGAACAAGTTGCTACATATGTTCCAGCGACAGTCGCGGAGGACCAGGAAAGTGTGTTGGTCTGAACTCTAACCATTGACTGTGAGTGTCTATGGACACCCCAAAATATTGCTGGACAGGTCACGGAGGCACACAAACAATCTCACCACGTTGAGGTCCTGTCTCATCATGACGGGTGGTGTGGACAAGTTGATCAAAGTTTAGTCACTAGCATGGCTGCCTTTCACATTTCTTGGGTTATGATTAGCCACCACCTGAACCGGTAATTGTGAAACTGTTAGTCAAACGTGGTTACAGATATCCTCTCGTTGACTCGAACAGTCGTCTCGGGGGAGGGGGCGCCTTTCTCATCCGGTCAGCGAAATGGGTCGTTGGAGATCAACTGAATTGGGCCTTGTTTTGAAAGGCACACAATTAGACACCGAGTTCATAGCATTCCGGACTTCGAATTAAACCCCATTCGGCCGATTGGTTTGTTTCGCGTTCGCAGGCGGACTAAACAGTTGATGATGATACACACTTTTGACGAGTCGCAACACGGGCACAAGACAGCAACTCAGAGATAACTGCTACGCGGTCAGTCAAAGCGGCCAAGTGTTGAGTAGCTCACAGTCGTGCCGAAGGTTTGTGCTTGTGGTAAGTAGATGGGATCAGAAAATAGTTGTAAGAAGCGGTCATCTTTGTCAGTTCTAGAAGCATGTACACCCTACCTTGAGCCGGGACGGTTCTCAAACTAGTCGATTCTTCCCAAATGGGCACTCAGGTCACTACTTAGAGTAGTTTCACCCGCGTTCCTAGCCATCCGCCTCCATGAAGAGCATCGTTAACAGTCCCTCCTGCAGTTTGTTGGGGCTTATGCAGAGATAACGTATAGATCTCAGGTTGCGAGTGGTCGGTTGCAAATCCTGGTATCTAGCCAATCTGGTTGCACAGTCGGCTGTGCATAGTAATCCAGTCAAATCTTCATATCTCGCAATTAATACAACACCCAGGGCATTAAGACCACTGGCAGCCGCTTCTTTATTATCTGACACCTGAGTAAGTCATGGATAAACTCACTTGCCCTGGGCATCGACCAGATGCATTACTGTA